CTTCCTTCCTTCCTTCCTTCCTTCAGCAAACATTTATCAGGTAAACTCCCGACTATTGAGTCAATGCCGACCCATAGCAACCCTATAGGACAGAGTAGATCTGCCCCTGTGGATGTCTGAGACTGTAACTCTTTATGGGAGTAGAAAGCCTCATTTTTCTCCTGCAGATTGCCAGGTGATTTTGAACCACTGACCTTATGGTTAGTCGCCTGACGAGTGAGAGATGTTGCTGATGAATTCATTCATTCTTTAGGCACACATTTATTAGGCCCCTACTGTGTGCCTGGCAGCATGGCAGGGCCCAACACACAGTAGGTCTCGGGCAATTCCAGGACGAATCAGCAGCTCATACCCCTCCCTCCCCTGGCTCCCAACAGGTCTGAGCCACCTCCAGGTGCAATGCCGAGCCTTCAGGTACCCAATCGCTGTAGACTGCTCCTGGGCCCCGCCTCCAGCTCCAAACTCCAGTGGCCCCACCTCTTACATCACCACTTACAGGTCAGAGAAGTGGGAGGGGACACAGGCAGGGATCTGGGGGCGGGTTCCTGTGTGTCCTCTCACAGGTACCCTGGAAAGAGGCCTGGCCATCTCCTTCTGAAGAACTAGCCCCTGGTGGCTCTGTGGAGCACAGTGGGGGTTGGGGAGGGGGTCCGGGGTGGGGTGGGGGGCGGAGTCCATAGCAATGCATTTGATTTCGATTCTGCAGTTGAAGAAACAGAAACACAAAGCCATTCCATTCGCAAGCTTTCTGATTCCCAAATCAAGTGCCAGCTCTCAAGCTCGACTGCCAATGGGCAAAATGAACAACGTAAAGGTCACAGACACGCTCCCTGGCACCTGCCACATGGCCATCACTGGCACCTGCCACATTGCCAGGGTTCGGCACACAAGGTGAACCACTGGAATATTCCGGAAGGTTCTGGTGGACGGCGCTGAGTCTTGTGGTTCTAAGGTCTGAAATCCAGAGAAGCCTCTCCTTTCAGATTCTAGAGCCTGGGGGTCCTTGTGCCCCTGGCAGGCTGCACCCTGGAACCCTCTAGCATCCGAAGGCCCTGGCACCTCCCCAGTGGGTCTTGTGGCTTTGCTAACTCCCTAGGGTCACACAGCCACCAGGGTCAGAGCCCACCATAGGACCAGCTCCTTGGACCCCTGACCTGGGCCCTCCGCCACCCCCCAGGGCATAGCCGGCCTCTAGACCTCACTGCTCCCCTCCCCCCAGGCTCGGACTGGCCTTGCGTGGGGAGAGTCGGCCCTGCCTCCAGCCCACACCGGAAACCCGCCGCTGTGCCATCCGGGACTTCCAGATGTTCTCCATGGTGCCCTACGTGCTCAACGTCACGGCTGTCCTCCCCGGGGGGCCCAGCAGCACCCTCCTGCCCTTCGTTCCCGAGCGCATCAGTGAGTGGGGGGGGCTACTGGGGCGGGAGGAAGCCCCACGATGGCGTTCCCACACTTCCCTCCTCTCCCACCTTCCACCTGGAATCCACTGCTCCAGCCAGGGTCCACCTGCTCGCCCTTTCCCGCCCCACCTCCAACCTGGTCCAATCCCATCATCTCTTACCTGCACCCGTGAAGTCCTTCTGCCCTGGTCCCTGGCTCTGCCTCTCCTGGCAGTGGCCAGCGGGGCGCCCTGTGAGCACCTGAGTCAGGCTCCCGCCCTCCTTTGCCCGCAGCCCTTTAGGGCGCCCGCCTCCCTGGGGTCAAAGCCCCTGCACAAGCGCCCTCTTAACTCACTCTGCTCCAGGCACACGGGCTCCTCCTTGCTGTAACCCCCATGCACCAGGCCCGGCCCTGCCCCAGGGCCTTTGCCCAGGCTATGCATTCTGCTTGACTGCCTCTTGTGCCCCTCCTCTGCCTCCTGCCCCACCCCACGCCCCTCTACCAGCGCTCCACAGTCTATTAGAGGGCGCCCATGAGCCCCCCAAGGCAGGTCCCTTCTCTCTGCCCACAGTCCTCCAGGGTTCCCAGTTCCCTCAAGTCAAAGCCTAGGTTTTTCCAGAGACCCACAGGGTCCAATCACAGGGGCCTCCTCACTGCACCTCCAACTTGCCAGGCCCAGTCCTGCCCCAGGGCCTACTTCACACGAGCTGTGCCCCCTGCCTGGACTGCTCTTCCCACACATGCCCATGTGGCTCCCTCCCTCGCTGCCTTCACGGGCCTGCTCAGAGATCTCTGCTCGGTGAGAGTGTTCCTGACCTGGATGCTGGAGGGGAGGTAAACCATGGTCAGTGTCTCAGAGAGGTAAACATGATCGGGTTACCCCATCGAACATTAGAACACAGTCACACAAACATCTGTCCACCAGAACTCCGCCCAGGCTTGTCCGGAAGCACCAACAAGGGGGCAGCAGCTCCAGTGCCCAGCAACGGATATGTGTGGTCAACACAGTGGGGTCCATCCACTCCACGACCCTCACCCAGCCAGAAAGCGGAGCGAGGTTCCGCTATATGCGATGTCAGGCATGAACCTTGACAAATCTTACGCTGAGTAAAAGAAGCCGTTGCAAAGGATGTCCTATTGTCTGATTCCCTTGATAGGGAATGTCCGGAGTTGGCGGATCCTTACAGCGGTGGGGAGTGGGCTAGTGGTTCCTAACTCGTCTGTCAGTTTATCATAATAGAGAACGGGGGGAGGGAGGGGGATGGCTCAGGGGCTGCCGTTTCTTTGGGGGATGAAGAAAATGCTGTAGAACTAGACAGCGGTCACATGACTTGGTGAATATACTAGAAACCACTGTGTGTGTGTGTGAGTGTGTGTGTGAGAGGGATGAATATCTCAACAATGAATTACAACCTGCTCCCCACCTCACTCACTCAATCTTTCTTGCCTCTTCCCT